AAGTGTATATTTCTGCTATTGTAGTCCATCAACCTTCTCAATTTGACTCGGCTAGGCTTTTCTCTCACCCAACTTTGAAGAAATTCCTGAACGGACTCTAAAATATTCACCCTGCCATGTCAACACCCTCTTCCTCAGTGGTCTTTACAACTTGTCCTCAATGTACACACTTGACCACCCTTCGAATCGATGGCTACTTCCAATCTCAAATTACTTTCCCTAAAAACATCATTCCTTGTAACAATAACATCTGCTAAACGTGCTAGCGAACTCGCAGCCCTCAGATCGGATCCACTTTTCCTTCAGTTCCACCCGGATAAGGTTACCCTCTATTTTGATGCATCATTTTTACCCAAAATTGTCTCTGAATTTAATCTCAATCATTTAACCTCATTCGTTGATTCCACCAACTTTATTTCCATCTCCTTTTACACCTCTCGAGCACATGCTCCACATGCTTGATGTAAGATGCTCCTTGGCCTTCTACATTGATATAACTAAATCATTCAGAAGGTCTCCAAGGCTCTTCTTATGCTTTTATGGCCCTCATAAGGATGCCACAGTCTTCTTGTTGTATGGGGCTTTTTCTTTACAGTTCAACTAATTCTGCACATATTTCGGGGTTCTCTCACACATGCTAATATTTCTTGCTTATTTTTCAATAGCCGTTTTTTAACTACTGTATCATAGTACCTGTATATAACGGTAGTGGTGATGTACCATTCATATAAAACATGAGATTCTAGGCTACCTTGTAAAAATATATTTATATATATTTATTTAAATTAAACTTTCACTGTTTTAGAGCAGGTGACATAATCTAGAGTAGGTCTGTTAAAGTGAGGCTGGTGTCATTGTGGATTGTTATTCCTTTTTAGCCCTACTTTTATGTTGCTCATAATAGCTGGTTTACTAATTTCCTATTGAACATACTCTTGTGTTTTTAATCACTGAGGATCTGGACAGCATCTACTAGGCACTGCTCGCTCAGCACAAAAAACTACTCGTGTCTCACTGAGCTGACTGCTCATATGTAACAACTGGATATTGACCAAAATGTGTCAAAATTGTATTTTAATAATCATTTAGAATGGTATACTGTGCAGCAAGATTGATTCATTTGATAATGGGATTTACTACTAAATATGTGTGCTCTAAAGTGAGCATCATTGAAATAAGCAGGGCTTCCAAGTGAGCAAGGCATGGATTCAGTTCTTAATGTGAAAAGATAAAAAAAATTCGCTGAGAATTGTCAGAGATGTGATACATAAAAATTAAAAATGTACTTGAAAAGTGTTGATTATTCAGGAATGCTGTAGAAAATCTTATCTCCTTATTTAGGCCTAGAGACAAAGAGACAAGACTTTGTAATAAGCAGCTGCCATGAGAGATATAGATCTGCCTTAGTACAAGGCGGTGAAGGTGAAAACAGTAGAGACGGCTTTTAAACAGAGCCCTTCAAGCTGTTTGACCATGACAGCCCGAACTGGAATTGTTTCCATCTCTACCATGTCAAAAGGAAGGAAACAAACACAAATTGCCTCAGTTCACACCGACCCTGAACTCAATCAAATGTCCCAGCCCATAAAATGCTGTGTATGCGGTGAGGGTGGCGGCAAACTGTACATCTGTGCACAGGATCTCCTAATTACTGTACACCATGATTTTTATTTTGATCAATTCAGCTTTAACTCTTCGCCCTGTATTATTCTCAGGTTTCCGCCCCTCAGCCAGGGATCATGTCACTGAAAACTACACTTCCCAGCAACCTTCTTTTTGCAACCCAATACTGTAATACGCACACATCTTATCTTACTGGTTCATTCAACAGACCAATCTAAAGAAACCTTTGATGCCTCGAACCAATGGGAAGGCTGTTGCTAACACAAAGATGTTATTTTTAGAATACCCTTCGCCGCTACACCTTGCAGGTTGTTCTCCCAATGCCTATCTCAATGCTGGCGTCTCAGAGTTGCTTTGACGAAGGCAGCGCACAGGCGCACTGATGAAAAAGTAGTCCCTGCATCGTGCGGAATGGGAATCGCAACTGAAGCGTGGCGAAACTTCCTCCATGAATAGTTAAAATGCCATCTGACATCCGTGCCTTGTGGGATTTTGTTTAGGGGATGTGAGCTGATTTGCATACCCTCCAGCTTTGCAAGGATGGGAATAAACAGAAATATATGCACTTGTGTTAGGCTTGTGTATAATTCGTGAGCTTTAGAGTCCTCGGGTAGCAAATCTAATGGCGCACTCGCATTCCTGCGTCGCGAAAATATCGTATCCACTACTTATTATTCTCTGCTCGCAAGTAACTATGACGAACACACTTACACCAGGCATGTTGTGAGATCGAAGCAAAGAAATCTGAGTGCACCAAGCGCCTAACATTACATTGGTCACTCGAATTGCAGATAAACTCACGGATCTCTTTAGATCTAAATAGCCTCGTTTTTTATGAGATCAAAGTGGGGAGTGCACGCTATTTGCAGCCTGGGAGCCAGGCTCCCGAAGAGCGCGTGCCGTCACTCTTATCTCCCTGAGTCCGGTTTACGCAAGCCAGTGCTCGAGCGAAGCAAAAAAAAAGCGGATTCTTGAGGCCGCGCAGTGGGCGAGGGACGAGGGTTCGGGGGGTCTGGGTCCGCTCCGTGTATTTTAAGTGATAACATTCCAGATAAAGTTCATGCAGCCAATAAAGTGAATAAGCTTACAGGTGCCGAGGCGTTGGTTTCTTACAACTACAAGACAATACTAGCATTTAGACGGGGGTTTGACCCCGTACAGATTTGTAAGAACGGTGAAATAAGCTTTCTGTGTGCTTTCGCAGCAGCCCCCTTTGAGCCAGCCAGGATTTAGTAGCCCAGCTCTAGAAAACAAAACCAAAAACTGCTCACCAACAAGGGGCTCAGCGAAACCAGATTTTCTGAGGCAGGCCTTTGCTGTGCAGTTTGCCTCATGGAACACCCCAGCAGGGGAACGCTCTCTTCAGAGTGAATGTATTTCACAGTTGTCACACAGACTTTAAAAGCCGTCTCTCTCTCTAATTGTTGAAACTCTGCATGAGAAAAGATGAATGAAAGCTACATACTTTTGTTTGATATAAACAACAAGCAGGCCACAACTGCGGAAGGATATTCATTTATGTGTCTACACATATCTGTCAAAATAATACATGTTTAAGCCGCCCATATATTTTTCTAATAGAGAAGTCAATGTAATATACTGAGATTGAAAAGAGCAGATGAAAACAAAATTGTGACTATGGGCTGTAACTCACTGAATCAGGTCATAGGAACACTTTGTGGCTCAATTTAGCCACCTGGTTCTGTCCTCGTAACTCTTGTTTTACTGGTTTGAAAATTATTATTACAACATATAATAGAAAATGAAGAGGACAAAACAGCTCTTTGCTTCAGTGGATTAAAAATATGGGGAATTACACGAAGGGATCTTTCATGTACATTGTAAACTGTGAGCCTATTCCAGAGTAAGAAAACTGAATCATAACTCCACATCCATTCTGAATATATTTAGGACTGGAACTTGTGTTTGAGATTATAAATTGTTATTCCTTTTATTAATATGTGAGTGTCCTGTGACATCAAGTCACTGACCCCCTTTCAAGGTGAGATATTTAAGGAGTGGTTTTACCAGTTCTGCTCCCCTGGTTAGTTTTTGAACCCTGTTTTCCAGAGTCCTAGGCAGTCACTTTATCTGCTGTACCACACTGGAATTCCTGTTACTACAATAGCATGTCACAAATGCTTAGAATACAGTATGTCTTTACATAGCTAGCACCTTTCTAATGCCTAATGCGTCCAAAATGAACTATTTAGGACAAAAGGAAAATAACAGCTACATGTGGAATAGAAAGGGCCTGTGAGCACACAATTTGGTTCCTGGCCACCTCAAGGAGCTTTTATTGGCATTGACAACACAATCAGATACTGTATGATCAACATATGGAGTAAAGTAGTAGTGGGTAATTGTGTATGATTAAAGTATTTCCATTTAAGGCTGTAACCCTGTTCACATTTGGTTGGAAGTAAACTTTGTTTTATATCTAATAAACATTCAGGTCTAACAAGATCTTAAGGCTTCATACACAAAACATAGGAAGCTATCATGACACTCAGCTCTTCCTAGCTCTGTTTACAATACATTGGGAGGAAAACTCTCCAAGATTTCAAAGATTAGTCTCCCATAGCTTCCAAAGATGTTCGAGAATGAAACTAAATCTTAATTCTGTACTTTTATTCACTAACCAGTTCAGTTAGAGGGATTAAAGAGTGAAGAATTGGGATATCTCAATCCTTCCAATGCTTAATTAACAATGGGAGCGTATTTCAGCCTTCATTGCCTGTTCCAGTTCCAATTGCTAGTTATTTCAGATTTGCTAACTCAGATTGGAAAATTGGTTAAGTTTAAAATGTCTTGCAGGGGCTCTTGTGTGAGATGGTACCTATTAATGTGTTATAAACCTGGAACCAATTATTGCAACTCTAATAGGGTTTTCAAGATAAGTGAAATATTTAAAGAGTGATATTACTACTTCCATCTGTCCCCAAGTTTCCATTGCTGAGTGGAGATTTGAATTCAGATCTCTGAATCCTATTCCATCAATTAATCTACTATATTGCACTGGGTATCCTGAGTAATATAGAATGGGTGTAGATTGTCCTCCAAATAATCTTGTAATTGTATTCAGAAGGATATCTAGGGAGTCTTGCCTCTCACAGTGCTCATACGAAGGAAATAGATTAGTAGATACTAGAAAGGGGAACATTTCATTAAAATGTAGAAACAACGTAGCTGGTGCAATTGAGGGGGGTGGCTTTCCTTCCGAGCGATGACTCGTCCAAACATTCGTAACACCGTCGCGGAGCACCCGGCACAAAGCGGGTTAATTTGAAGCTTGCGTTTGGAAAAGTAGTTCCGGCTCGCCCTCCCTCTCCTCCCCTTCCTTGTCCTTTGCGGGACGCGTCACCCTGGGTGTGGAGGCGAATATCATTGCGCGGGGTTGCTAAGGGTGAAACTTTTCATTTACTTTGCTCACTTTGGGCCAGGGAGCGGGTGGCTTCAGGTTCCCTGTGGAGGGAGGGAGGGAAGGAAGAAGGGAGGCCCGAGCCAACATCGGCTCACTGCACTTCTGATTTGCTCTGTAGAAGGAGGTAAAATACTTAATCAGCATCCGTTTAATTTAAACAAAATCGAACGCCCACCATCGTATCAGCACTTGTGAAAAAAAGAAACTCTCAAGAAACACCCTGGAAAGAAAAGAAGCCACCAAACCATCTCACCTGGTGCTGAAACAAAAAAACAAAAAAAGAGAAGTAAGTAGCGGCATATTACTGAGGGGGGGTTTAAAGAGAGGATTAACTTCCATAGTCACATCATTTAAAATGGGGTTCTTTTTAAATACCCCATCTCCTTGATCGAGTGTCGCCTTTCCATCTTCTCTTTGGTCATTTTGTTGAGATTTTGCTTTTCTTTGTATTTTTTAAAGGAATGAATTAATCGCAATCGTTTGTAGAAGCTTCAGTCTTCTACTCTGATTCTGAGAAGTCATCGTATGTTCTGTCTCCATTCGCTGTCCTTTCAATGAAAGACTCTTTGGTTTCTATTCAGATTGTGAGTTAATCTGCTAAAAGAAAATGCCTGCTGCGTTGAAAACTGCTTTGTGTTTTAAAAGACACTTTACTTTTTCCTAAAAGAGTTCATAGGTATCTTTTAATTTTAAGGTGGAGGAAGGCTGGTAGTCGTTTGGTTTGAACGCCTGGAAAATGTCTTAAGGTCACCATTTTGTTTTGCTTATTTTAGTGCAATTATGTATAGGCCTTTCAAAATTAAAAAAAAACTCATGCAGATCATTTGTCATAAAATCGAGCCTTGCGCTCATCGAGCGTGTACTGTAATAATTTTTTCTCTTCTCCCCTACGTTTGTATTTAGCTAGGAAAGAAATAGTGGAGAGGAATTACTTGTTGTTTTGCTGTTCTTTAAAGATGTAAACTGCCGTTTTAATTTATAACGAGCTGAAGTGAAGGCAGCCCAATGCGAAGCCTATAGGTATGGGAAAGGACGGAAAACAGAATGAAACGAACTATTTATTTTAATCCATATTAAGGCTCAGCAGCGGCATTGTTAGAAAAGATGGTTCCATCCCATTTTATGCTCGAACTTTCCTTTCCCCCTCCCCGGCACGGAGTCCTGAGGCCCTCATTAGGGTTTCATATGTCACAAACGCAGACCTTTAAAAAAAAAGATAGTAGAGGCCGGGAGAAAATTATCATCTTCCCTCGCCTCAAGTACCCTTGATTTAACGGTGGGATGGAGGAGGAGGCGAGGAGGGCTCCATAAAAAAAATGAAAGGTTTAATTCATGTAGGTCTTCTCGGCACTAGAAGTGCGCTTTTAGGGCTTCGCCGCGTTTGTTCCGATGAGGTAAATGAGGCCCAGGGGACCCTCTTAAAGGCCGTGAAGGTCCTATGGGGTGCCAGGGGCTCAAACCCAACGCTTCATAACGTTGCCGCTAATTTTGGCGTCGGCGTCCCCGGACCTTCGGAAAGGAAAGGGGTCGCGAGGAGAGGATGTACTTTCGGGCCGGAGTGTGGAGGTCGGTCGGTCGGTCGGCGGGCCTTGGCGAGCACGTAAAGTTCCGCTAACCCTCTGCTGGGGATGGTGGGGGGGGGCGCGAGTGGTGCCACAGGGCCTGAGGGTTGCCTGTCGTCTTGGCCGGTTTCTCCCAGTTGGAAGCTGAAGGTAAAGGTCAGGGCCAAATCACCTTACTCGGACGTGCCGCCTGCTCTGCCCCCCCGCCCGTCGTTTTCGGGCCTCCGCTTCCAAGATGGGCGAGTAGGCGTTTCTTTCGTGCGCCCCTTTGCGGGGGGCCGGGGGGGGGGGGGGAGAACGACATACTGAAGGCTTGGCCTTGATCTGGGTGGATAAGGGAAGAGCCTCTCTCTTCTTCTTCCCACCCCCACCCCAAGGGCTGCAGCCCGAGACTTGCTAATTGAACACCGTCGGTTCTGGAGAGGTTCGGGTTCGCTTGCAGGGTCTTGGATTTCTGGATTCAAGTTCTGGGTTGTACCCGGTGGGCCTCGTAGTCGAGGAGTTGGCGAGGGCGGTTTGTTTCCAAGGTGGAAAGCAGGAGCGGGGAGGGGGGGTTGCAAATGCAATCAGTTGTAGTGGACATTCTTCTCGTTTAATCCATTTCTCCCCCCCCCTTCCTTACACAGTTAGGAAAGAAAGGGGGAGAGCAATTGCGTTCTTTTAGTTATCATCCAGCGAAGAAAAAAAATGACAGCTTATGTGGGGGGGGGGAGAGAGAGAGAGAGACGCTGAGCGAGGAAGGGCGCATGCGCCTTGGAAAATTTTGGCCCGTGCTCCATTGAGCAGGCGCTGGTTGTTTGGGCCAGTTTTGGTGCAAGGGATATTGAGAAGGGTAGTTACTGTAAAAGGCAAAGTAGGTCACTCGCCCTGGCGTTGTCTTTGGTAAGAGTAAGCAGGATCGCAGTGTAGTACAGAACCCGAGAGGGTCTGGGGGAACGAGTAAGAGGCCCAGGAAACGTTCGTAGAGATTTTCGTGGCTCGGTCTGTAGAGATGCTTCGGCAGTGAGGGGCGGCGGCGGCGGCAGTAGCAGTAGGTTCGAGAAGCAAGAGTGTGGTGGCAAAAGCCGAGTCCCTTTGAAAAAGATCCGATTAAATCCTTTTGCTGAGAGAGAAAACCTGAGAGGGAGGGGCCCTGAGCAAATAACGCCCACAGAGGTTTTGGCAGCAGGAGCAGATTGTGCAATTGTGGTTCCAGAATGTGTCTCCCTCTGGCTCGCTCGGGCTCCACCTGTCCTATTGCTTGGTGCTCCAGCCAGGCTTAAGGCAATGGTCTGGATCACACCCTGGAAATAGGGCTGAGAAAGGCCTAATTTAAAAATGCCCTTTTGCTCCAGTAGGCCTGCAACAGACATAGGCAGCATATCCCAAGATTCAGTGTTTATTGAAAATAATGACTACCTACTTTCTGATGATGGGAAGTTTAAGCCCAGCTCGTTGACTCTCTCCACTCCAGGATAATATATGCCTTCTTAAAATGAGCATCTGTTTCAAAGCAAATTGGTCAACAAGGTCATTAGTCCATATCTCTTTCTGGATTATAAAAATACTTAAAATAGTTACTCCAATATGATTGGGGGTTTTGGTAGTTTTTCAGTACATATATAGAAGTTGTTTTTTCATACTGTATTTCTATGATAAGTATCCTTTCTGAATTTCTTTGTGTCAGAGGTTCTTACACCAATTCATAGGAAAAGGTCATAGCGTATATTATGTTGTATCTTGTAGTTTTAATTTTTCACAGGCAAAATTGCTGTGTACCTGAAATTTTTACAGTGGTAGGACATCTTGAGGTAACTTTGATCTTTATTAATGAACTTCGTGGGAGAGAAACAGAGATTCTGTGCTCACTCTTATGTTCTGCCATCTGCAGTTTTACCTTGGATAGGTTGCTATATTAACTGTCTAGACATTGAGAGATCCTGATGAATAAAGTAATGCTCCTTTTGACATAAGTTTATTACATTTGTGGATTTTTTCCTAAAACATATTATTCTAAATTGTATGGTGTAAGCTACCATTATACTTTTAAAAAAATGATGCTGTTGCTACTACATGCCATTTAGTTGCCTCTGAATTGTGGTGACCCTATGAATGAACAATCTCCAAAATCTCAGTAGCCCTGCTCAGTCTTTCTAACTCAAGGCTGTAGTTTCCTTTAGGGAGTCGATCAATCTCATATTTTGTCTTCCTCTTTTCCTGCTACTTTCAGCCCTTTCCAACATTATTGTCTTTTCCACAGAATCCTACCTTCATGACGTGTCCAAGGTAGGACAGCCTCAGTTTTATAATTTTTGCCTCCAAAGATAGTTCAGGCCCTTTTTTTGGTCTTTCTGGCAGTCCAAGGTATCTACAAATTCTCCTCTAGCATCATATTTCAAATGAATCATTTTTCCCCATTCAATTTCTTCACTATCCAGCGTTCAGACCTGTACATAGTTATCGGGAATACAGTGGTATAGATGGTCCTAGTCTCCAGTGATACATTCTTACACTTGATGGTCTTTTCTTATTCCTTCATTGCTGCCCTTCTGAGTCTCAGCCTTCTTGTGATTTCTTGTAATTTCTTGGCTGCATTCTCCCTTTGGATTGAACTAAGGTATACAAAATCTTCTTTTAAAAATGCTAGAATATTCTCAGATGTATGTAGTAAGAAGTCTCATGGGTTTTTAACTATTAGGTAGTTAAATACAAAAAACGGCACATATTTATCTTATTGCTGAGAAACATTACTATTTTGTTCAAACAATAGTACATACCCCCACATTTTCCTGGAAATGTAATGTATGGCCAAGTAGACAAGTAAGCTTTCTGAGTGACTGCTTTGATCCCCCCCTCCCCACAACTTCTAAGAGTCTCGGAGAATACTGGTTGATGTTTCTCATGTAGCTTTAAATGATTGCATTTCTACATCTGGAGGATTGTTGTTAAGCCAACATTTTGTTATCTTTTATACATCTTTCTTCACTATATTAGTGCTTAATTTTCTATCTGATTACTCAGAAGTGGGCTGCAAATGGAGCAATGAGAGAACTACATAATCAAACATTGTTTTGTTTCCTGGAAAGCATGCATATATATATCTCTCTCTCCCTTTGATTTCCTTTAGGGAGATGTTTGGCAGTACAGTATAACTCAATCTTGAATTATGGGATCTAGCTTAACCATGGGATCTGTATAACAGTCCTGTACTGTTAACATTTCCAGCCTTCCATCTCTCTCAGCACCCTAAATTTGCCTGGACTCTCCACACAGTATGCTGAAACTGCAGTTATGAGGAATAGATGCAGAAGTAAGCCATTCCTACTTGAGGTGGTACATGGGCTGATCTTGCCACCTGAGTTGAACATCTGCTCCCTGTCAATGATTCTTTGGAGCTTGTTCATTAGCCAGAAAGAAACACAGTTGAACCCAACATCTTAAGGAGTTTGAGAATGGTCTTCATGTTAGCCTTGAAAATGTTTTGCTTCTAGTTGACCTTTCAGACACTTGCCTTGCTCAGATATTTCCTGTGGCAATTTCCATTTTTATTTTGAGAGCACATTCAGAGAGCTGTAATAAAACTATTCATGGTCTAGTAACTCCTGAAATACAAGCTTGAAAATTTTTGACTGTGCTGTCAGCAGCCATTCTGTGATCATCAGCATAATAGACTACATTCACAGGGAGCTATATGGAGATTTCCAGTGGTGCTTATAGCAGTTTATGATACATGACACACAGAATCTGCAGTCTTATAGATAAGTCAGAATCTATTGCTGAAATCCTGTTGCACAGTTTTGCAGATGGGGTAACTTTTAGATACAAATTGCTGCATTGTCGCATGACTTGGCATACAAAAATTAACATAGAGATTTCTTAATTTACAGTAGTTGATTCCAAAATTATGCTGTTTGCTTAACATGATTTAAGCTTACCTATATTTAAATACAACATGTTGGTTTTATTTTATAATGTATTGGTTAAGAAGCTCTGTTGGATCAGAGCCATCTTGGTCCCATCTTATCCAGCATCCTATCTCCCATAATAGTCAGGGCCACCAAATGGCTGTTGGAAGTCTTCAGGCAGGGCACATATTCTGATATATTTTCTACTGTTGTTTTCTACTAACTAATATTTAGAGGCATGTTACCTTAATTCTCATAGTTGTTTGCTGGCATCATGGCTAGTAGAATCCATTGATAGTATCTTCCACATTTCTTCTTCTAAGACTTTAAAACTCCCTTTTAAAGTCTTAGAAGTAAGTAGCCATCACTACATCTTGTGGTGGTGAATCCTGTATGACTTGCTATCACAAGATGTAGTGATGGCCACTGCAATTAGTTTGATTCATAGTACTGGTGTACTATTGAAGTTCCAAACATTGTACACAGATTAGCTGGCACAGATATTTAGGAATGGTATGAAAGACTACATCCAGTATGGTAGCACTCTGTCTTGTGCCTCATACTGTAAATAGTGGGGCTCCGTTTCCAAGTTCTTCAGCAGAAACCAAACTTTCTTCTTAGCTCCAAATATTGTCCCAAGAGGAACTCTTAATTCTTGAAGTGTATCCTTAAACTCTGCTTAGTAATACCTTTGAATGCTTTATGTTGCTTTTGTATTGTAAAGCAGTGGTCTCCAACCTTTTTGATACTGCAGACTGGTTGGGGGGGGCCCTCCTGCAGTGCGCGCACACTTGCATGCATGTGTGAAGGGGCGGAGGGTACTTGCGCTGTGTGCACACTCACATGCGCAAAGGGGCTGTGCGGGGTGTGGAGATCTGTCTCTGCAGACCGGGGGTTGGGGACCCCTGTTGTAAAGGATCCTCAGGAAACAGGCAGCCAATCTGCTTCTCATCAAGTTGCCAAAAACTGGATGTGCCACATCTCTAATGAAGATTCTGATATATTTTAAAAGTTCCCATGTTTTGCCTTTGCCTTTCTTTCCTGGCGCATTATTTGGTAGGTTGAGATATTTGTAATCCCACTCTCAGTAGAGAAGACAAGATGTGATTTAGAAAATCAAAACGTTGGCTTCTAAGCCAAATAATACTTCTTAAGAGCACTGTCGGGTGTCTGGTCTTCATGAGTCGGTTTTGTGTTGATTGGTCTGACTTAAAATCAGTAGATTCTGTTAATTTCCTATTCTGTTCCACAACTTTACTAAAAAGAAAAGATTGTACCAAATTTGTTCTTAACCCATTTATTATTTGGATGTCATTGATGGACTGGATATATTACACTGGAGTGAATCAACACTAGAGATGGGGGCATTCGTATACGAATGCGAATGTCTCCCCACAGGTGCAGATAACAAGGGTTCAGCCCCCTGGGGCCAGACTGACCACTCACTTGTCCACTGCTGCTGCAGGCTCCGTGATCTCTTCCTATCGCTCTGGAGCTCATGATAGATTAGCCACTCCTGGCAAAAGGCGGGATGATGAGCCTCTCTGCGAGGTCAAAGAGTGGCTAATCCATCGCGAGCTCCAGAGAGATAGGAAGGGATCGCGGAGCCTGCAGAGGACAGATGAGTGGTCCCCCTGGAGCTAGACTCCTCGTTATCTGCACTTGGGGGGGGGATATTCGTATTCATATATGAATACCCTCATCTCAAATCAGCACAACAGCTTAGGGCTTCTTACAACTCCCTAGGGATTCTTACCCAGCTAGTTTATCTTGAAATATATGTATCAAGACTTTTAAATTTTTATGGTGTAACATGAGGTTTCTGCTCTTTAAGACTATTGTAAGTAACATAAATTGGGAGTTAAGTCAAATTTGTGTATTATACGGTGGCTCTGGCAACTATATAGTTATGATGGGTGAGAAGTTTCCGTATTATCTTCCCCATAAAATTGAACAGGGGGGACTGCTCTTCTTTGATAATTACTGCTATTATTCACAGATCCTGAGTTTTGTACCTTACCCCTAACAATTATTGAAAAGTCTGATTTCTCTGCTCATGTATTTTACTCAAGTGGACAATGCAGGATGGTAGTTATGTGGCAAAAACCGTGCTTTTCTGACCAAGCCCACCCCACCCTCAGATTGACTAACTTCTGCTCACACACATCTGAGGAATATGTTTCCTAGAAGTGCAGAACTTTCAGCAAGAGGTAGGGTGGGAATCAGATTTATGAGTGACATCTTATATTAGGTATAACCTGTCTCTCTAAGGTTCAGTCTTAAATTGCAATTTCCAACTAGAACTGATGGGGAGTAGTTGATCTACTTTGGACAGTGGCTCTGAAGTCTTGTGTTGCTATTCACTATTTTCTGTGTTTATATAGTGGCTTTTTCCCCCCTTTCACCTTAAGTTGTTTACTGAAGTTTTTTCTTTTTCCCATCATTGATGGTAATGTATTTTTCCTGTTTTTTTTTAATAAGGGGGAAATTCCCCCCAACAAGATGCCTTTTGTTTGAAACAAAAAACCATAATTGAAGTTCTACTTTAAAAAGCAAAGAAAACTATGCTACAGCTAAACTCATGAAAAACATGGGCATATTGATCAGCCCTGTTCTTATACTTCAACCACTGCTCCAAGTAAACACAAGAAATTAGATCCAATCTTTGATTGCTTAGTAATCATCTTCCTCTCCTTCCTTAATTTTAGAAGCAATCAAATGGTGCTTCTGGAGTGGAAGAATCAGCCAAAAGAGTGTTGTCATTCACAGTCCTTACTTTTTTCGAGGAGGCTTCTTCTGTGCCCCCCCCCCATGACCCTTAATGAGGAAAAAAAATCCTACTTACTTAGCCAGTTAAATGCAGTGAAACTTTCTCCAGATTAGTAAAGTTTGTTATCTGGATGAGACTGCAATGCAGATTTGCATTTTGTAGATTCTCACTCTGCCAAAGCCTCTGTTTCATTTCATCTCTTCCACACCAGTAGTGATATGCTATAGAGAGTGTGTGGTTGATAGTGGGATTATGCTGTAATATTTGTTTGGGGTGATTTAGAAGTCAAGGTATAGGAAAGCTACTTCAGTATCCTCATATTTTGAATAAAGTAAAGCTAATTGATCTGCAGTCCGAATTTCTGCTTTTTCGGATATAGTTCAAATGTACATTTTTGCTTCAAATCAAATACTGTACATTTTATAATTTTTTACAGAAGACACAAAAAATCACATCTATACAGTATGTCTTGTATTACTTTTCAGTCTGTGATATAAAGCTTAGTAGATGTATAAAGCTTAGTAGATGTTTGTGTTATGTTGTTTTGGAGAACATAACAGACAGAAACGATGCCAAAACTGACAACATATTTGTTGGTTTTCAAAGTTTTACAGTAAAATTGCAACAAAAAAAATGAATAAGTAGTAGAAACTATATTGCTTGCTGGTAGTACACACGAAATGAATGTTGGCATTGTAATATACCTTAAAGTGAGGATGAGTCAGTGTGTGACATCTCTACAACAATCGCCATTGTAATTTTAGACTGTATTAATAGACCCAGCATTTCCAAGTCAGATCTTACTGGAGTTGTCTTTTTTCCCTCTCCTTCTGGAGGTTGGATATCTTCTTGGCAGGCTTTGAACTCAGAAACTCTAAACAGTAGTGTTGTAGTGCATCCAAATCATCCTTCCAGTTTCTTCAGTCAATGTGTTACACTCCTTCCTGAATGTATTTCCTCATGTATTTTGCCTTCAATGATCAATGGTAACAATCTGCCCTTTCTGTTTCTCATTATATAGCCAAGCTTTTTGTTTTAAACTATTTATTTTTCTCAATTTGTTCATTTAAGAGAGTCTTCAGGTCACGCAATAAATCTACATTTCAGATATACTTGTGTTTCTGAGAAGTATCCTGTGTTAAAAGTCAACAATTCTGTGCCATAAAGTTGAACCAAGAACTATGTGGAGTAGTTTTGTCCAATTCTGAGTGCTGTGCTTCAAGGAAAACTACAGTATAGGCAAATTAAAGTGAAGTTAGAGGAGAGCAGTGAATATGGCCTTCGGTGTAGATAAAAATTTCTATGAGGAAACATTGAGGGAACTGAATGTACTTAGCCTATAGAGAAGGCTAAAGTTGAATGATAACATTCTTCATATTGCGGAAAGGCTGTCAAGAACAGGCATAGCTTCAGTGGTCTTAAGTAGGTTTCAGTATAATGTTAGGAAGGTAAAGGTAAAGGTTCCCCTTGACAATTTTTGTCCAGTCGTGTCCGACTCTAGGGGGCGGCGCTCATCCCGCTCTTCAAGCCATAGAGCCAGCGTTTGTCCGAAGACAATCTTTCCGTGGTCACATGGCCAGTGTGATTTAGACACGGAACGATAATGTTAGGAACAACTTATTAAAAGAATATCTTTTTCTTTACAGAATATTTTGAAAACCATATTTAGAGGCCATTAATAGAGGGCTGCTGGTCTCCTTGACAGAAGATTTTATGTAGAGCCTAGGTGAACATGGGAATGCTTTTAGTTCTAAATTTCCTTTGTCAAGCAGGGCTTCCACTCAGAATTTTTTACATAAATTGAAAAGTTGGTATTTCCACAAAACTTAAAATGTGCATGTTATGTCTTGTTGGAAATGTGTTTACTTATCGGGAAATAAGGAACTATTCATGATTGTAATGGGTAAGTGTTGTTCTTCCACAATTGCATGATAAATAATGTTCAGCATTGCTAGATATGACACTGAACTCTCAGAAGTCTCAACTTCTGCTATATTAGGAAGTATGATATGAATATATCCTATTTAATTCCTTTTTAAAATCTCTTTTGTCTTTTCCAGGATTGATTGGAGCCAAATTTTGTCTATGTTTGTATCTTTTGTCTATTTTTAATATACTGCCCCAACTTGCTTGCTGTGAAGGGAGTATGCAGCTGGAGATCAAAGTTGCCCTGAACTTCATCATCTCTTATCTGTACAACAAGCTTCCACGGAGGCGGGCTGACCTGTTTGGTGAAGAACTAGAACGGTTGCTGAAAAAGAAATATGAAGGCCATTGGTACCCAGAGAAACCTTTGAAGGGCTCTGGCTACCGCTGTGTTCACATTGGGGAAACTGTGGACCCTGTTGTAGAAATGGCAGCTAAGCGGAGTGGATTGGCTGTGGAGGATGTGCGAGCCAATGTTCCTGAGGAACTGAGTGTCTGGATTGATCCATTTGAGGTCTCCTATCAGATTGGTGAGAAAGGGTCTGTCAAGGTCTTATACCTAAATGACAGTGAGGGCTGCAGTGCAACTGAGCTGGACAAGGAGATTAAAAGCAGCTTCAACCCTGATGCTCAGGTGTTTGTCCCCATTGGAAGCCAGGACAACTCCTTGTCTAACTCTCCATCACCATCTTTTGGCCAGTCACCCAGCCCTACATTCATCCCACGGTCTGCCCAGCCCATTACCTTTACCACTGCCACTTTTGCTGCCACAAAGTTTGGCTCAACTAAGATGAAGAAAGGTGGAGGAGCAGGAGCAAACACCAATGGTGCAGGGGTTCCACAGCAGCAGCAGCAGCGCCTAGTCCGTTCTCCCACCAATGGCTTGCTGAAACACAAAGGCCTTTCCCTGTCTATGCATTCTCTGAACTTCGTTGGGGGTAGTCCAGCCCCTCAGTCTCAGCTGTCCCCCAATGCCAAGGAGTTTGTTTACAGCGGTGGATCACCAGGAGCCAGCAGCCTCTTCTTTGATGGTGTAACCACTGAAAACCAGGCAGGTGTCATTCCTTCTGCATCCCAGTTCGGTGCCAGTGGTGGCAGCAGCAGCAGCAGCTTTGACATGGCTCAGGTGTTTGGTGGAAGTACCAACAGCCTATTTCTGGAGAAGACACCCTTCGTGGAAGGACTCAGCTACAATCTGAACGCCATCAGCCAGTATCCCAGCCAGTCGTACCAGCCAGTGGTTTTGGCCAACTGACCACCATGAGAGTATTCTGGGGAAAATAACTTCCAAAAAAAGAGAGGAAAAAAAATAGTAATATTTGAAATCTTATAAGTATAGCTTCTTGGAAAGAGACAAATCCTGATTCATTTTGTCATGCCAGGGAACGCTGCTGAAGCACTAATTATTTTTTTAAAACTTGCATCCTGTACTCTTTCCTACCCATTGTAAATTTAATGAGGGAGGTTATTCTTCTTGGCAAAGAAGTTGTGGGAACCAGAGTCACTTTATGATCTCCTGTGCTGCTTCTTGGAATTGGTTCTCAAATGCTTGTGGTAAGGATGGCCTTGATGAGAATGCTCTTGTGCCCCTTATTTTCCCCCATTTTGGAGTAGCCTGGGGTGAGGATGGGGAAATGGATTTAGACACCTTCTGGATGTGTGATGTCTCAAGTATTCTGGGAGGTGGGGAGGCTTGGAACTTGAATCTTTACATGAGATGGGTAGCATAGATGGTGGAATAAAAACATTCACTTACTGTACCTCTCATCATTCATATTGCTATTACAGAATGAGAATAGAACAAAGTTCTCAGCTGCAGCTTTTTTGTCTGTACTAACTGGTAACGGCAAGGTCTTAACACTGAACATGCTACTTCCCTAAAAGTTTCTCTTAACTCTGGGTGTGTGTGTGTCCTGGGTCAGCATTGTAGTATCTGGGACAGATTTTTTTTGTTTTGTTTTTTGCATTGCGTTCTCCTCATTTTTGCCAACACCCTTAAGAGTCCAGGGAGAAGTGACTTCTTTGGGAAACTCAGACCTGGTGTTATTTACTGTTGCTGTGATATATAAAAAGGACTCTTCATACAAACACTTTGATCTGTGCACATTACAGTCTTTCATGAATAGGAGTGAATGCTGGGTGTTCTGTGCCTGAACAGCCCATCTTTATTTTCCACTGATCCATGCATTTTGGTTGTATGGGGTTTTGAGCATTCTTTTAACATCTGAGCTTGTGGGTACTTTTTCTTGTGGACAAGATGGTTTTCTTGATTTAGAATACTATAAAGCACTATGTGTGGCCAGGAAGAGGGAGTTAGTGCAAATTTCTCTCAGGATGGGTGACATGAGGGTTTGCACATTGAATTTTGTGTCTCTTAGGATGTTTGACCAAAAACTTAATGATTTTCATTTGAAAGGAAGCAGGTATTCCTGTACAGAAGAGTACCTTACATATCAAGTCTAGCATGGATTTGTTCCATCTCAAGACTGCAAGGGGGTGAGGCAAGCTTGCTGGAGAATTTCCAGATGACTTAAGCTGTGGCAAAAAGAAATTGTTTTTTGAACCAAGTGCAGAGTCTGTTCTTTGTTGCAGTTACAGTAAACTAGAAATTGTACTGATATTCCCTGCATTTCCCCTTTTCAGTAGGATGGGAGAACTTGGAAAACAGGGACGGTAGTGGCCTTCATGTAGGGTATTTGCAGTTATGTTGACAGAAATCTGCCTTTTGCAGCAAACCTTTCCCCATCTATCTTTTGTGAGATAATTACCAAACCCCAAAGATCACCTAGCTACAATAAGGTGTGAGATGTTGTTTGAAGCACAGATGGGCAGTGCCCATCTTGTGGGCCATTTGAACTGTGTTTTGCAGTGGGAAAAGTGTTCCCCTGCTGGATTTGCCATTGCTGCCAAAATTGGTTGTAGTGAGCACCACAGCACCAAAAATGCCTTTTTTTCTCTCTGCACCACCACCCTTTTACAGAAATTCCTGTAATTCCACTAAGAAATAAGGTGTGTGCTGAATACATGCCTTGTTTCATAATGGTAGTCCAGTCCCAGACTGTTTGAAAACCAGCACTTTTGATGGTTGTACCAGCAGAAGATTTGGCAGCAGAGGAAGAATGTGGCTGCTGGAAGAGCAGTGTAGTCCCTACTCTGAAGAAATGGCCCACCTCTGTTCTAGCAAGTTTCTGTACGAGCAGTGAAGATGGGTAGAACAGAGGGCTACAGACTCTGGTTCAGCATACTTTCTCCTTTGTATGTCCACCACGGAATGGTTAGAGTGTATGAAGTCCTGTTTTTATAATTTGTCCAGCAAAGCCATACTGAACAGATAAATAAATACTAGTCTACTCTTTCAGAACCCTCCCAGAAACTTTTATGTTTCTCATCTTGCCCCAGATCTAAACTGTGGATTTGTGTAGGATTATATATGAGCTTCACCTGCCATAAATATCTGCCTCCCAATGTGAAGGATAATGATCTTTGATGCACTAGAAATCATTGGTGGAACTCAAGAGAAAGATCTCCTGCACAGCCTACATTGTGCAATGGGTGTGCAGTACATCTTTTCTCAAGGTGCACCAAACTTGAGGTTGTTTTTTTTTCATTGCTCCTGCACCTCCCGTTTGCTGGGCGGAAGAAAAGGACACTAAACATTATCTCAACATTCTACCTATTTTCTGTAATCCATTCAATGTTGAGGGAAGGCACTGTTGGGTAAGAACATGGTGGGTAAAATTTCTTAGGACTGGTAGTCCAAAATCTGAGTGAGACATTTTGGAGTTGTAAAGAAAAGTAAAAAAAAAAAAAGATCACAGATAAATACCACTGCCTCTCACTTCCCCCTCCAATGTGTACTGTAGACTGCAAAGCTCTTACACTGGACTTGAACCATATCTCTTTCTTCAGGAGAGTGGCTGGTTTCTGATCCCCTATCCTGCCCTAGCTTAATCTGTAGTCTTGCAGCAGAAACCTGCCATGAGCCACTGCCTAGGTGGGATTATATACACTTCTGAGGCTTAGTATATTGAAGGGAGAGAGGAAACCTCACGAGCACCTGCATTATGTGTGATGTTTGACACTGCTTTATTATCCTGCTAATTCCTGGTTGAAAAGATGTCTGCATACACAAGGAGGAAAAGGGGAGGGACCAACCTCTATATTTCCTAAAGGAACATGTACTGTGCTTCAGAAGCATTTCCAGTGCTGACAACGATGAAACTCACGGCCTCTTTTTTGGTCTTGTTGTCTCAAGAGTTAGACGTTCAGCTTCAATTTTATTTTTAAAACCTGCACTAATTTACCTGGTTTCTTAGGAAGAAAAGAGATTTTTTTTAACTTTTATTTTTATGGGTTTGTGTTAATTTTTTTGTTTATATTGAATAATTTGCTACATTTGTAAAATGTAAGAGGTATATATAATATATGTATATTTCTAACGTAAAACAATTGAAATTTTTTCTTTTCAAGTTTTCTTAGAGGAGAGAGAAAAAAATATTTTTTCAGGAAAATTTTAAAAAAGCAGCAGTGAAAGCTCCTTTCTCCCCCTCCCCTCCCTCCTTCCTGACCCTTTTTGAAGAGTGAATCAACAACGTGTGATCTTAGAAGATGGATGAACGCAAAAAGGACAGAATTATGTGTGTTTTTTAATGCAGAGGTCCATGCTGTTCTTGTTCATTTTTTGTGTTTTGTTTTTTTACAGGCAGGGGGCCACTGAGTAGGGATCCAGAGGGGGGTTTCTTTCTTTTCTCTTTTTTCTTTTTCTCTAGAGAAGGAGGAATACAATCAGAGTTTTGTATTCAGAATGTTGTGCAATATTTTGGAACAGGACATTGGCGTGTCTAGAGATTTAGTTAAAAACAACAAAGGTTGATCAAATCTGTACAGTTTCTATTGTTCCAGATTTTTTTAAGTTTGTATTAAAAGCATGATACATAATATCCTTTTGTCCTTGTTGTTTTTGTGCAGACAATTGTGAGTTCATAAGTAGCTGAGTGTATGTAGCGGTCCCCAACCTTTTTAACCCCACGGACTGGCTGGGGAAAGCGGGGCACCCCCTCGCGCTTTTGCTCATGCACAAAGGAGCGTGTACATGCTCGTGTGCACGAACAAAGGGTGGCACAGTGCTTGTGCTGACACTTGCACACAGGCGCAAATGGGCTGTGCGGGGGGGAGTGCATGTGGGGAGGTCTCTCTCCACAGCCCAGTCCAGCTGAGGCCATGGACCGGCACCAGGCCATGGACTGGGGTTGGTGACCTCTGTGTTGGAGTACAGTGGTTGGGAGATTGATTCCGCACTCTGAGGAGACAAGCCTGCCTTGTAATATACAGGACTAAAAATGGAAAGCATCCTGAGGAGAAAAGGGTTTTTTGTCCTTAAGAAACATTCCCAGTAAGGATAATGAAGGAGCTAAAAAGTTTCATTGAATTCATGAATATACAATGCAAGAGTTTGATCAGATTTTTATTAAAGAGGTTTTTTAAGGATCTCTTGCCAATCCAAAAGTCATTAACTGCATGGATTACCTCTGATATACATTAAGTAGGAGTTGTAACAGACTGAGAAAGTAGGGAATAGTTTAAAAAAATATCTCCTCCTTTCATATTGGGTTCAAAACATGACAGCATGCCCATTGCTACTGATTTTCCAAACATTCTGAATTAACTCAACTAGATTTTAACAAATTATTGTCCTTTTCTCTGTCATATTGAAACACCCTTAATCATCTGAATAAAATGAAAGAATATTGTTAGCTTATGATATATAGACTAAAATGCAGAAATCACTGATCTGGTCCTAGCTTCCTGAATAGCATTTTCTGCATTGCTGCTGTGGCTGGCCTTTGAAGGTGTGAAATGATTGAGAAGCTGCCTGATATCTGCAACATGATAATCTCACCTTTTCCCAGACTATATAAGGGTTTTTCTAACTAGGGGAAAGCTTGTTTCCACAGCCAGGCTCCTGATTGGACGCTTTCAGTTAACTGCTGGGGGAAGCTCCAGAGATGCTCCAGCAGGAAAGTGGATGTAAAAAAAACTTTCTTAGGAAAAGACAAGAAGGCAGTTTTTGTGGATTTTACTCCTAACAGAGACAAGGTGAATTTTATATCAGTTGTGGGGAAGAATACCAATAAGACCAACACACACTTTGATACATTACAGAGAATGTACACATACAGTACACTATGTTCCATCAGGAGGAGGTGAATTTGACAAGCTGTAAAAACCACCAGAATAGGATTCGTAGTCCTTTAGCAAGTGCCCTGTTGGTCCAATGCCTAAGCAGAACTTCATACTCGGAAGTGTTTTGTAGAGAGTGGTATTTCATTCCTGATTGCAATAATCACTGAAGTCCTGAAAATCAGAACAGTCCCCACTCCCTTACCACTACTACTACTACTACTACTACTACTACTACTACTACTACTACTACTACTACTACTACTACTACTACTACTGCCACCACCACCACCTGTGGTTAGAAATACACATTTTGGAGGCGGTGTAGGTGGGAGAAAGGGTTCTTTATGCGTGGAAAGACTGAACGTGCAAGAAGCATAAGCTGCTACTGACATGGGTAGAAGTAACAGACTAACAAGGTTGAGCCAATCGTACACTGCTTAATAGCTCAGCAGAAGCACCCACAGGTTGTAACTTGTACCCAGAAACTTCAGTCATTTTTTTTTTAAGCAGGGATGAGGGATAGCATATAGATATCACAGTAGACTCCTCTGTTAGGAATGTGGGGCCTGAGTCACTGGAAGGGAGGAAAGGGTGGATCCTATCTTGAGTAGAAGTCACTATTTCATAAGGCAATGCTGGAGTGTTTGCTTGCTGCTAGTCCTTTTTGGACCCACAATAACTTGCAGAATGAGTAAACCAGGAAGAAGGAGGAGGGGATTTAGCTTCAGGGTACTGTTGTGAAGACAAAGCAACAGACTAGAGGAAGATAGATTGTAATGAATGTAGGACAGCATTGAATCTTCTTGCATTCAGATGGCAGGTAAAAAGCCAAAGCTGCACACATCCCACCCACAACCAGAACTGGAAAAACATCAGAAGAAGAAATGGCTTAGGTTCTGCGGTGTTGCAAGCATACCTCTTGCTAAATAATAATAGAGCAGATTATGCCTAGCCTGCTTCTCCCAGACATTTCATAGGATTTGGGCCATTTCATAAACCCAATAACTATTTTTAAAAATGGTTCTTTGTGATCTCTGTGAATGCACACAAATGGGTTTTAGTGCACTTGCGCAGAGACTCTCAGAAACTTCTAGGTCTTTTACACGTGTTTGCTAGGACCTCCCTCTGGTCATGCATGGTCTGCCCATGGCATAGAGTGCCTCGGTTCCTTTTTTGCCGCCTCTGCAGCAGCATCTCGGCAACGGAGTTTTGTTTGTTTAGGTCAGGTGCATCAAACCAACTCCTGTCACGCCTGTAAATTTTTTTAACAAAACCAGAGCTTAGGCTTCGCCTCCAACAGTTACAATCTTTCCTTTGGAAAAGGTCCTTACAGCCACCTCAGCGCTCAGCTATGAATTCGATCCAGGCCCAGACTACAGAACTTCCTATCAAGACCGCTTTCTGACCTCAAAAGCAGAAACCAGCCTCTAAATTGAAGCCCTCGGAGTTGATACTGAAGCCTACCTCAACCCACTCCACTGTCTCGACACCGAAATTGACTTCAGCACTGTCAGGACAAAGACAAAGAAGTCATCAGTCTCTCACAAACTCAAGCACTCTCAAGTTTTAGTGCCTTCAGATAGAGAAGATCCGCCTCCTCTGCCCATGGATGAGCCTCCACAAGAGACAATGTGTCTCGACTCTTTGTCTGGGGATGACGATGCCCTTCTCCCTCTGCCTCGTGACGCGCCCTCTCCTGAGTTCAGTCAGTCTCCTGACTGGGGGAATACCTTGGCTGAGGTCACTGCTGTTTTGCGGTCAGCACATGCAAGCCCTGTATCCCAGGTGGGCTCTATGTCAGGACATACATTGGTAGTCTCAGATTCGGTATAGGAAGATCGTCCTCCTTGGAAGAGGACCCGTAAAACTCATCACATTGAACTGCACTACGATACCAACTGGCACCACAATCGCACTCTTTACCATGACACCGACCAGCACTGCAATCGTACCTTTTACCATACGCCAATGACTAGGATCCACTATATCAACACTGTTTTAAAAACGCTGTCTTTATGGCCATCACACCTTTTATGAACCTGAGGTCTAATATAACCAAAGATTTTACGAGCCAGACCCTTGGTACCATGGACATAGTTACATTTATGCTTACTGTTCTACTGCTTCTTCGTTAGCACCATCTCCACCTCAATATTGAGCACCAGCCACGGTCCATCGAGGCCAGTGCTCTGAGGACTAATGGCATACACTGCCACCAGCTCCAGTATCGCCATCAAAAGAGATACCTTCCCTTCCATCTGATTTCAAAAGCCATCAGCTGGCGATGAAACAACCTTGCTGTATGACTTCAGCATCAAGCCAACCACCTAGAACACAAGCGACCTTATCTCAGGTCCAGTCATCTTCTTTAAAGGTCACTACAACATACCATGGTCCACCTTCAGAGGCTTGACACCAGCTTGAAGCTTGACACCAGCTCAAAGTCGAAGACCAGCTACCCACAAACCAGATAGACAGAAAGGTAAAAGCCATGCTTTACTGTCTGAAGAACCTTTCAATCGTCCATCAGCCTCAGCCCGGACAGACCTCTCTCCATTCCCAGAGCAATCAGTCCGCTTCAAGACTAATACCGAAAATTCTGACATTGAAACCGGAGGAGATTCTCCACCTAAC